CTATGTGACGGAGAAATGCCCCCATAAACTCGAAAAATTTGACACGATTGATGAGAAGAAATTGGTTTCAGACAATAAAGTGAGTTCTTTACGATTACTGACATTCAGTATTGAAAGTACAAGGCTCATTATAGGCTTTCTAGAGCGAGGGAAAAAAGGCAGGGAGAGGAGTTCGGGACAAAAAAAATGCCGGCACATTTGTGAATGAAATTTCCCACGCACTTATGGGAATCTGGGCTGTCTGTATGGGGCCCCGTACATACCACTCTTGAATGGGAGACTTTATAAACCCGTGGAATGGCGATCACGCAGACGATTTTCCATTTTCCCATTACTTCATAGTTGAAAAGAATAACAGGCTATCTACTGAGGTCACTAGGGTTTACTCATCACAGTTTAAGGCTCCCTATCTGGAAGTAAGAGACCAAAATTCTTGGTATTGATCGGACTCTCTGAGATGCGCCAAGAATGCGGTTTCTTCCCAGATTTCTGTGCAGAATTACGAAACACTAGGTATGGCACAATTTCATCAAACCTAAAAAGCGCAATGTTTACTTGGTGTATGTGGAATCCGCTCCTAGAACTTGGTGATAGCGACGCCTCCTCCCATGGAGCCACCACACATCCGAATTTAGTCATTGTCTCTCTATCTTTGTGGGAACTTTGATGCTGAAAATATTTTGAATTGAGGCTTTCCGATCGACTGACCGTGAGATTCTGTGGAAGTGACAGCTTAATCGATTCGAAACATTCCCATTTTAAGGTTGAAGTTCCACAACCAACTCGTGGTTTGCGTCCATCCAATGTTCCTCTGCCAAAGACTAGCCCTCGGCCTCCACGCACTGGTGAGGTGTGGATGGACAAATCAAATCGGCGTCGTGCTCCAATTGGTAGGTGAACCTTGAATCATCTACAGGCTTCTATGAAATTAAGTCTTGCTTACAGGTGGTGATCGCAAACTCTTAAATCAAGAGTATCCGATCACCGAGGTAACGGATGCCGATCTGACTGCCGAGTGTGGCACTGAATCTTCTCGCCCACCTTATTCACCCTGCTTGGCTCGAAAGACTGTCGACGACGTGTACAAGTCATGCTGTCAGCAACATGCAAGTTTCCTCTCTCCATCTAGGGTCGCTCAGGCAATCGTGTTCGTATCTCGTCTCTATCGCAGTGATATCTAGTACATCTACGCCCGTAGCCTTGGCGAAATCGGCGAGAAACGTCTCATATTGGTCTTTGACACTTGACGTGGAACAAAATATCCCAAATAAGGGGTCACTGCCTTAAACACGGGGATGTAGCCCTCTCAACTTGTGCAGCTTCCGTTCAGTGTCGTGAGAGATTTTCTAATTACCGTAATCTGCTTGTTCAGGTGCCAGCCAACTGTCACTCATTGTGCACATATGAGCATCGTGAACACGTCGCCGCTGAGACAATTATCGCTGCTGTGCAACAGGACGGATGTGATCTCAAGGTGGGTGGCTAAATTTCCGTGCAGTCTCTAGCGGATCGGCTGCAATAAACTATTACAGTACCTGTCGTCCATCCTGTACTGCGCCAATCAGAATCGAGACAATCGAAAGTGCTGCGAGTTTCTCGGCATGTCAAACGCCGACCTAGGAGTTGGAGATCGGTATGTTCATTCATTGTCGAAAAATTTCATACTCCAAATTTTTTATCGATAATCGATTGTCAATCCAGATGTTTGCGAATGTGCGACGTTGCGCCATCGGGTGAACGTATCGGTTCCGTGGAAAAGACGGATTTGGTCTGCCTTTCCAATTGGAACGTGATCATGTACTGTGCACGATCTGGACTCCGTACCTTCAACTGATCTAAATGAAACCATCATGCTTTCACATCAATCCCATTCTTCACCATTCTTTCTTTCCCTATCTGCTGGGCATTTCTCCGTCCAATTGCCTTCATCCCTTAGTCGTTCGGTCGGTGTGTTCGCTGCACTTCTAGAGATCTCCACGCGTTCAACGCCGACCGTCTTGTAGTCCTTCAGGGTGTTTCCGTCATGTTCCCAATTCCCTATCTGCAATCCCTCCCCCGACCCCTTGTGCTTGCATTTCCCTGTGTTTCCGCTTTCTATGGCTACTTGAATCTATCAGTTAATAATATAATTCACCACCATGCTGTAATAAACGCTGCTCGGGTGCGATAATGACGTCATTTCTCCGCTTCTTTCGTTCTCGTCTTTCTCGCTCGTCTTTCACCCAGAGTGAGTCTACATGTTGTGGCGTTGGCGCCAAGGGGCGCTGGCGCCCGCCTGCCCCTCCCCGCCCCCGTCCAAGCATTCTTCATTCGCCCACGCAAATGCTGCATTACATGTGATATACGCGCAATTATCGTTGTCTGTGATCATCGGCGAGCTCATATCACTTTTATCCGTAATCGTGGCGAGTGCATCCAGACTCAGTGATACGGGTTCGCCGAGCCTACTGTATAATTTATATTGATTTTGACATTTAATGGCATATTTATTGATTCCATTTACTGTGATAGCAATCAGATTGTTAACCTGAACTAGAAATAAAATCGATTTGTACTGACAAAATCAATGTACTGTCTTCTGGAGGAGTATGTTGATGGACATGATGCTTTGACGTTCTTTGACTTCAGAACAATTTCATCGAGAAAGTATTGAGCTAGAGGAGGGTCCGCCATTGCGACATTCTTTAGCCCCTGAGTAGGCAAAATTTTTAGAAGACTTTCTCCCTTACGACTCATTCTTGGAAATGGACTGTCGAATTCCAGCTTGCCCGCCTGCGAGCTCCCCAGATAACCCCAAAAAATGGTTATTTAGTGAACAGGGGTTTTCGGGGAAACTGCAATCCATAGAACACGAATATCACATCAGTTTGGCACGAGAACGCTTGACGCCTGCGCCAGAGACGGTGGCGCTATCATTTTATTATCATTTTGCGCCAGGCGCCCGTAGCGCAGGCTGTAAGCTCACTCGCAACGAACTGAATGTGATATTCATGTTCTTTGGTCCAAACTACCTCTGACGACAAGTTTTCAGCGAATTTTGTGAGCCATAGTGTTCTGTGCCGGCGCCAAAAAAGACGGGGAAACGCATAGTTCCCAAACGCCTTTTGGCGCCGGCACTGGTGGCGCAAGCGTCAGGGGTTTCCCCTCCAAACGAATACGATATTGTTTCTATGGGTCGAACTATCCTCGGACTCAAACATTCAGTCAAATTTTGTCAATCCAAATGGAAAAAATTTTCGGCTTAATATCCGTTCACGTTTATATTTAAAGTGGGACGCAAGTATATATATCGTCACGTCGAGTTGAATGTTAATTTCAAATTACGGAACTAGTACATAAAAGTTCATATCAAAAGTTAGGCTTTCTGGGCGGCGATGGTGGCGCATGTCAGGGGTTTCCCTCAAAAAGAATACGATATCGTTTCTATGGCGAAATTTCGGATCAGACTGTTCAGTCAATGCTCTACCATGGGAAAAATTCCGGGAAAATTGTTCAGTTTTAAGAGTGGGACAGCGAGGAGTATCGTGCGAGTTATGTTATTCATTTCGTCTTTTTCTTCTCCCTAGCGTTAGTCCGGCAGTCAGCAGGGTCGCATAGTCTTTATCAGTGGTTCGTTCGCCTTTGCTCTGTGAGGGCATTTCTGATGTGGCAGTGTTCCTAGGTCTTTTGATTGACGTCGTCACCTTTCTTTGGGTGGTCCACCTCGCGGGTATCAGCCTTGGAAGTGGCTTGCGGTCGGTGAGTCAGTGGTGCTCTTCCTTATTGTCGGGTGGTCCGTGGCTTTAGCACGGTGCCATCATCGAGACGCTTTTCTCTGTCAATGGAACGGGGCAGTCTGATATGACGCTGCGTGATTCTCTCGTTCTGAGCTGTCCGTCGACGTCCATAGCCGCTCTGTCCTCCCTTGCTTTTCTTCTCGTCGGCCGGGTGAGTTTGCGTGGGCGTATGATTTTGTGTGCAGGGTGCCAGCTCTGTCGCTGCGGTTGTTCTTAGATGCTAGGCGCTCTACCATGCCGGTTTGCTTTTCTGTAATTGGTTTTTGTTTAAGCATTTCTTCGATCCGCAGAGGGATCGTATGGATCCCGTGCCATTTATCATGCAGAGTTTGGTTTCTCGTTGACTCGTCGATTCACTGCTGATCACCAATTCCCGTCGGCGGTCAGATCGATCCCGGAGTATTGAAGTTCTCATCTTTCGCGGGTTCATGGGGCGGTGTCCACGGTCGGTTATTGTGCACTCCTCTCAGGAGCTCAGGAACTTGGTCTTCTTGACATTCAGCCGTAGTCCGCCTTCTGCCAGGACCTTCTGCCATTGCTGCACCTTGGCCTGTAGTTCCTCTCTACTATCCGCTATCAGGGCGATGTCGTCAGCGTAGAGGATGGTCTTTCAGTGGTCCTTCCATGAGACCCCTCACCATGACATCTAGTGTAAGGAGGAAGAGGAATTGAGGTTCGGGGTCGACCAGAGCTGCCTTGGTGCCCCACTATCGTGATGTCCCTTTCTTTCTGTTAGGCTGGTTTTTTGGTTGTCGTTTGTGGTTTTGTGTGGGTAGGTGGAGTTCTTTTCTTGCCCGCCATTCGGTATTCTTCACCAGTATGTTCGATTATGGTGAATTCTGGAAATCCTCCCTGGCCCCTGCTCTTTTGTAGCTGATTCGAGGTTTGTGCTCGGGGTCGACGCTTTCCAGGTCAAGGAGGTATGAGGGGTATCAGCGGTCGTGCGTTTTCTCTTTTTCTTTGGGTGGGTATTTGTTTCTTGTATCAGTTGCTCGCGTGGAAGATGGCATCCGTGTAGCACTGGGTGGTGTATGACCCGAACTGTTCCTGGGGAGGTATTGGGATCTGCTTCACCTTGCTGGTGTTGACGTCGGAGAAGGTCGCGGTAGCTTTTGTATGGCAGTAACTTGATCCGCGAGAAGTGGGTGTTTGGTACTGCTTAGGTTTGATCGCGCAAATTTTGGATTAGTTGGTAGTATGGAGAGTGTGATGATTAGTGCTTGTTTCCCAGGCTCGGCATTTCTTTCGGTGTGTTACGGGTTCAGGAATGTGTGTTGTAGATTGGAGCATCGTCCCGTTCTCCGAGCGAGCTTCGATGCTCGATTGGGTCGAGTTTAATCTGGACCACGCGTTTCAGGCTTCATTTTCTTAGTTTGTGCTTGAAGAACTCACCTTTGTGTCCATAGTTGAGATAGGTTCCGACGGCTCTGCTGGGGTAAGATGTCTTTGTGGCTGTGGTGGAACTCTTCCGGGTCTAGGGCGATGGGTGTACTCCTCACTCTCCTGACTTAGTGTGGCTTTCAGGATGCGCCTCGTTATGCTTTCACGTTTCACACCTAATGTGTTGGAGGATAGCCCGATGCGGCTTTGGCAGTCTGAGACGAATTCTCTGCTTTTGGTATTCTAACTTTTCGTTACAAGCGTCATTTCGTGTTTCGCTTGGCGAAGGCTCTGCTCTAGCGGCATCTTGCATCTTGTAGGTGGCGGGTTTCGGGCTCTGGTTTCTGCCGCGGATTGTATGTTCCTTAGGTTTGTTTTCACGCTCCGATTGGACTCTTTCGTTCCAGACCACGGTGCCTTGTTCCTTGATCCACCTAGCGTTCGACAGTAGCTTGGAGCATGTAGGATGATTCACTGCATTGCGCAGTTGTGCATGGGTTTCAGGAGCTGGGAGACCACTGTCTTATCCTTCGTTTGAGCTCGCTTTTCTCTGCTCGGTGCAACTTCCACCACGGATTCTCCTCTCGGTTCTTACCCTGTGTCTTCTTGGGAAGGTCTATGGCTATGTCTGCCAGGAGGGGCCTGTGCTGAGGAGCCAGTTCTTCGCCAGGAATTACCTTGATATCCTTCACAGTTTTGAGGGATGATCTTCTTACCAGTACATGGTCTCGATTTCCCGTCTGTCTCCCTCCACTGCTGTAGGTGACCTTTTGAGTCTCCCTTTTCGCGAAGAACGTGCTTTTGGAGGGAATTTGCTCGATCGTGTTTGTGGCGCGAGTTAGTCAGGTCAGTGACCGCTCTCCTTCGGCTGTTCTCCTCGTAGTTTCTTAGCATTCCGGGCACCCGTTTTCATAGTAGCCTCTTCTATCGCTTGGTCGATTAGTAGGTCCCATTCAGATACCCGTGCGTAAGTTGGATAGGGTAATCGCCGTGTCAGGGATCGATGTGATTGGGGTTCGGCTCAAGTCTTCGAGGTAGAATCGTCTTCTCGCATTCTGCGGTGGATCGGGTCTGCGGGTTTAACGCTGATAGTATTGACCAGTATCCTCTTTCGTGTCTATCCTCACAGCCATGATCCGATCGCTGATCCTGTTCACAGCGGAGACATAGTCCTTGAGCGACTCCGCTACCGCTATGGCCACACCATTCCGCTTGGTGTCTTCCCCATTGTAGTAGAGTTTGACACCTTCCCCGATTTCCCTGGCCTTAGCCCTTTCCATCGCGTCTCCTGAAGGCATAGGACTTGAATTTTTCTGCGCGTCATCAGATCAGCAACCTCTCGGGACCTTCCAGTTAGCGACCCTACGTTCACAGTTCCAATTCGAACTAGCTTCTTTGGCCGAGGCCGTTCCCTCGGGTAGCCCTCGCATACTGACCACAGAACTCGGGCGGGGGTTCTGCGCGCCACTTCCGGGTGACGTCCTAGCTTTATCACTGATTCTTTGACAACTTTTAGACATGGTTTGTGTAATTCAATACGGATAGAGCAAAAATGTCTACAAAAATATTTCTACAAAAATGTTGCCTTTTTCTCAAATGTCTTGCACACTTGAAAGAAAATTATTCAAGAAAAAAATAAAACCCCAACTATTGCTTTCGTGTT